CCTCTCGGAAAGGCTGCTTCCACAGCTTGGTGATAATCCTGGGCCTTGAGGGGGATTGCAGTCTCCTTGGAGTGCTATAGTTTTGAGTCGCATCGAGGTTCATACCCTGGCAGGGCAGAGCACCTGGTGTAGTCCATGGTGGTGCCTATTTCAAGGAACCGCGATGATTCCAACACCCGCAGCTCAAACAGTGACTCATACAATAACTCCTACAAATAGCATCTAGAATTTGGAAAGGGAATAGTGTACTGATCCTCGCGAGAGAAGACTGGAAAAAACAGTGGTAACAGACAGGCAGTCTTATTTCATCCATAGCCGACGTTCTCGTTTCAGAAAGGTCTAAGTCGCTAATAATCGAGAATTTGAGAATAATATGCAATGACATCCGACGACCCTTCATGTCGTCTATTTCTGATGTTCCAGACCAAGGCATGTTCGACCATTCATCGCTTGTATGGCCATCAATCATTGACGGTAAATTTTTTACATCTTTTGCGCGACATTTAATTCATCCTGGACAGTTGACGCCGTAGGAATGATCTATTTTGGGAACATTGTATGCTAAAACTCGCCCTCTGTGAGAGTGCATGTTTACCTCATGTCAAAAGCCTTTGTTGCATCACGCCACGAAACTGTTTTTCCTGCGACGCCATTCATTCATGATTATTATTTACATCATGCACATAACAGTAGCTCCACTTCGACGTGTTCAACAGCATATTTACAGGCGCCTACGCATCACGTTGAAAAACATATAAAAGCCTCTCTGGTTCAACCAGGGTTCTTCACTTCACACAACAGTAGTCTTCCTATCTTCTCGAACATGCAATCCAAACTCTTCTCTCTTGCTGCTCTCGCCACCCTTGCGGCTGCCACAGGTATTCCGGCCAGCGAATGCACCACCGGGCCCATCCAGTGCTGCAACACTACAGGCAAAGCCAGTGACCCCAGCATCGCCAAGGTGCTCAGTCTGTTGGGCGTCGTCGCCCAGGGTGTCGACGTTCTCGTCGGTGTTACCTGCACCCCAGTCACCGTCATCGGTGCTGGTGGCTCTGGCTGGTGAGTTATCTGCCGTTTTTCCTTATTTTTTGTGGTCTGGCACTAAACCGACCTGTAGCTCTGCCCACCCAGTCTGCTGCACAGACAACTCTCATGGTAAACCACTTTGAATATCTCTGACTTGGTATGCCGAACGAACGCTGATTTTACGTCTTTGCAGATACCGCTGTCTCTCTTGGCTGTGTGCCCGTCGACCTCAGCCTCTAATTGGATTCGGATTCTTGCCCGTCGCCTACTTATTACATCGACTTGACAGAAGTTGTAAAGAGCTTGTAGATATGGGTGCTCGTACCTATGCGGATCGTCTTCGAGTCGGACTGTAATTGGTCTCGGACATGTTATGCGAATGAATAAATATATTGTAATCTGTTATAGTGCCGCTAAAAGCTCTCTTCAAAGTGGAAGTCTCCGTGATTTCGGGGGATTCGCAGAACCCGAGTCTGAACTTGTAAGTTGAATCATGAATGACGAATCTACGTACAAGTAGGTACGAATGATTAGCCGTGAATGGTTGAGTACTGGGTTCCTGGTGCCTGGTTTCCAGAAGGGTGCAGTGTTCATATGTTCACGCGTCTATATAATGTATGCGGCTTTAGATCCCCAGGTATCGTATCTAGCTTGTCGTATCTCCCTCAGGATCAAGCTTGAATCCTAATCTCGCTTTGGGAGCGTGACTCGGAAACCTCTGACCACATAAATAGGGTGTTAGTATTACGGTAAAAGCTTCGTGAGCGCTTTTTCGGCGCTAAGCCTCCTATATGTGGCAATACGCCGTTCAAAACCCTTGTCAGCATAATTGGACTTGTCGAAATACACTACGTATGGTCATTGTAGCTATCATAATTATGCTCCAAGCTATGGAGACGCTTTATTGTTCACTGATTTCCCAGAGCCCAGGCTCGGGATGTTTAGGCTTCGAACCCAAGGACTCTAAATCGACAGTGATCAATTCAAAGGCTTTGAAGCTCGTTATCGTGCAGAATAATATTTAAACACGTCCCAACAGGAATCAAAAGTATTCGACTACATTAGCGCTAAACCTCTTATATGTGGCCAGACCGTCCAAGACTCAACCCAATTCGCTTCAAAGCCAACTTAGACTTGTCTGACTCGCGATATACAATTTACCTGTGAACACCGTAACTATTCTAACCCTCGCACTCTCAGTTAATATTATGCCCTATATACAAGTAGAGAGAAGCTTCGAGCTGGCTAAAGTGCTTCCAGCCTAGACAGTTGTCCCCTAAAACGTGGAATTTTGCCGTGATAGCAAACGTCAAGCGATGTTCTCTTCTAATGACGGAACAACTCGTTTCTCAGGTGCTGTAAACGCGTGCGGCAGGCTATTCGTTCGTCATCTGAATTGAAGATCTAGTGCCTCACTTATAGTCCTCCGCAGTGTATCGGTTTACGCGGTTGTAGGATAAATCTACATAATACGCCTAAACGCTGGGTTCGAGTCCCACGTAGGGGGATAGTCAGAGTGTGCATGCTCCTTTTTTATTGAGGTCGGTGAGAAGGAAAATCTCGGGACTCTCCGTTCACTTCTGTTTTCTACTCATATAAAACGCTAGGATGTAAGGTACTGCGGGCCGAAACCCAAAATAAATCCCAGAGTTCCCTCACAAAAACCCTCCATTTGTACCTGGGTATACTCCCTGGCTGGGAGTCGAACCCAGCTTTCGCGCGGAAGATTTCTTTACGTGCTATGACAGGCGCGTGTACTAACCGATATACTACCAGGGAGTTGTTACATGGTGCTTGGTTTATTAGTATACCAAATATAGATCAACACGAACAACAGCTGTATTGGTCGATTACTGTGTTCCTGGTTCTTAGAAGAGTGAATTGTTCACTTGTACGAGTCTTATGTATTCCCGGATATGTGGGACAACCATATAAATGTGGTGGACGACCTATGTATCGAGTCCGAACATCTGAATCGGTAGCGGCATTCAATTCAAAGTCGTTAATCGTCTATGTTTATGAGCGCCTTTTCAGCGCTTAATCTCCTATATGCGGCAATATGTACGCCGTTCAAACCCCAATTGCTGTCAACGACGAGTTCCCTGCGGATGTTGCCGCTATATACGAGAAGGTTGATTTCCGTACGCTAACAGTACAGGTGGTCGGTCGTGGTATCTGGCCTGATTTCATTCGGCAAGACGACGAACAATTAGAGTGAAAATCTCCAAAGGCACGGGATCATTCTCTCATGATGCATCACGGATTCTCTTACATTCGAGGAGAAACGATAAATCGATTTACTGGCGATCGAGATCCGAATGAGCAGGAATGAGATGAGAGTGTCCCACCCAGTCGATGATCTACGTCTCGTATCCTGATTTAATGGTCCAGGTACCTTCCCTGGTCGTATACCGGTTAATACACGCGCCTTCTATTGAGGCTCACGCAAATATCTAGCACGCGAAAGCTGGGTTCGAGTCCCAGTCAGGGATTCTACAGGTGGTCAGATATTTTTGTATCTGCTACTATCATTTAAACGGACCACGATGGAAGGTGTTCAACCAAAGAGAAACCGCCAAAGCCAGTTGCTTCGAACATTGATCCATTATGCATTACCCTCGCAAGATCAATCTCTTTGCTTTGATGAATCCAAGTACTAGACATGAATGAACACCTCCCCTGGTGGTAGATCAGCTAGTACACTGTCCGCAAGCCTTCTTTGTGGCGCGCAACAGCTGGGTTCGAATCCCAACCAGGAAGTTAGTTCTTGGGAGACGAAATTCTTTTTTCTCTTCTCTTGGTTTACATGTTACTCGAAAAATGCTTGATACGGAGGATAAGCATATGGGTGCTTCGGATATTGGGCGATCAATTCAGAGGCTCATCTTCTAATGTACGATGTTGAACCAAAGGCAATCGTCATCCGAGTCAAGCGCTCAGATGTTCACAAGACAAACTTCAATGAGCCTCGGAAATCGGGGAGTCAAACCGCGTGCACCAGCAGACGAGGCTTACTTTAACCCGCGCCGATTGATCCAGAAGAGAGAGGAGAATATGGCCAGGTATTAGGTTACAGGACATTCGTACACAGAGAACGAGTCACGTCCATCAAACTCCAACAGCGTGTTCCCTAGTAGTACATCGGATAGTACATACTACATGTACTTATACGCACGAAGACTGGGTTCGAGTCCCCTGCTAGGGAGTAATAGATCGGCGAGCCGAGATTTTTCGTATCTAGAGTTTAGAGCAGTATTACTGGTCTTAATTCAGGGGAGATGATGGTACATGAACTCCGAGTCGAAAGCTAAAGGAGAATTAACAGAACACCCATACCCATAGAGTAACAAGTAGAAGTACGATCTTCCATCATTGCCGTCATTGAGTCATTATCGTAGCACGAGAGGAACGATAGATTATGTTCTCTTCTGCTTACTCGGGTGCTATTGCATTCAACATTTGAGTTCCGAACGAAGAGGGATGAAAATGAGTCAAACGACATGCACAGAGGGAAGATACAAACTTAAACCACAAGACCCTGGTAGTATACCGGTTAATACCCGCACCTTCAAGCATGCGCGAAATCTGGGTTCGAGTCCCAGCCAGGGAATGAAAGCTACTCTTGAATCTTTTTTTGCTTTCGTGTTTCTCAGGGATGTAACTGATTGTTTGTGTATCTGATCGTCTTGCTTCACAGCGGGGAAAATTACTGGTGATTGCATACTCATGGCGGAGAACGTCAAGGTCCCGGATCCGTATCATTTACGTGCACACATAAACAAAAAAGGAATCTCTGGTAGTATATCGGTTAGTACACGCGCCTGTCATACGGCAACCGATATTCCCTCGCGCGCGAAAGCTGGGTTCGACTCCCAGCCAGGGAGTGTGTGTATAGGGCTGATAGATTTTTTTTTATGATGGTGTAGATTTTATTTTCAAAAACACTAGGCAAATTGCCGTTGAGAATAGAGTATCTCCCTGGCTGGGAGTCGAACCCAGCTTTCGCGCGGATGGGTTTTTCATTTATTATGACAGGCGCGTGTACTAACCGATATACTACCAGGGAGTTATACCTCTACAAGTGGCACCATTCCTTATGCAGCTGATATGAAAGTTACACAACGAATACATTCTCGGATACAAGGTACATGAGCATGAACACACGACAGGGGATGGAGGGATACAAGAAGACCGTAGGGGGGGAACCAATACACGCTAAGCACTACACCCAAAACCCAACCAAACACCCGAACCCAAAACCCGAAGCCGAAACCGAAACAACCTAGTAGCTCTGATCATCGCAACCGCCGTATTGGTCACAGGTAGGAGGAGCGGGAGGGGTCCAGTCGTCGCAGCCGCCATACTGATCGCAATCCTTGGTAGGGGGAGGAGTCCAATTGTCACATCCGCCGTAAGTGTCGCAAGTAGGGGGTGTGGAAGGAGGCGGCGTCCAATCGCAACCGCCATACTGGTCACAGTCCTTGGCAGGAGGAGTGTAGGTGTCGCAACCGCCATAAGCGTCACAGGTAGGCGGAGAAGGAGGTGGGGTCCAATCACAGCCTCCATACTGGTCGCAGGTAGGTGGTGGGGCGTAGGTGTCGCAGCCGCCGTATTGATCGCACGAGCCGTACTAGGGAGCTTTTGTCAGCATCGGTTGAGAGTGAGAGAAAAGACAGGAAACGCACCGAATCATCTCCACCGTAAACGTCCGACCTCTTCTTGATAGCAGCACCTGAGACGGAGAGTGCGAATGCGAGAGTGATCAGAGTGATGAACTGTCATGAGCGTTGTTAGCCTTCTTTGTCACTGGGAGTGAGACGGAGGAGCGCACCTTCATGTTGTCGTTGGAGTGAAAGTAGAGCTAGATGCGATGAGAAGATGGAGAGAGCTTGAACAGGACGATGGAGGTCGAACTGGTGGGGAATGGAAGAGACGGAGGGGCAGGTTATATACCCATTGAAGGATGCTGGAGGATGTTTCGTAGGATTTGAAATTGAGGGCTTCTAGTGAGGAAGTCGTCGGGTGTCGGGTACTGGGGATGGGTGTTTCATGAAGAGGTCGGGTGGGTGTTTCAAAGAGGTCGGATGAGAGTCGTTGAGTGTCCTCGTGCGTCGGTAGTCGTCTTGGTTCTTCTCCCGAGTTTCATTTGGCGTCTGGTATCCTTTCATATTCATGAACACTCTAGACCCCAACTCAAACCCTGACCTCAAACACCCTCTCTTTCCTTGAGTTGATACACCCTAGCCCAAACATCCTTCCCTTCCAGCATCGAACGTTCCTTGAGGCTGCAACCACTGTAGTTCAAATGTTCCCAACGACGAGTTGAGCTTGAACGGTATGTACTTGCGTGTCAGATGAGTGGTAGAATTCGGGGGTTGGCCAGGTTGAACAGGGAATGGAGAAGGGACAGTGTAGTCGTTATCGTCGTCAAGGGCAGAGAAGAGTTTCGGTCCCGCGCCGGAAGCAGTCACATTCCGGCCGGCATGTGATATCAATTTGCCTGTTTTGGAAGCACTGTTTCGGACGGAGGATGAACTCGTCTCTCTTCTGAGGTTGTTTTTGCAGGTCGTTTGGTGTCGCCTGATAGTCGTATCAGAACGACTTGAAGAGATACAAGCGGGCGTTCAAGTGAGCATTTGCCCTTGGTTCTGGGTTCACTCAAATCAAGCGCACGGACCACGTGACGTTGTGACGCATCTGTGACTCCCTGAAATGTCACATAGTCAACACGTTTTTTTCCCTTTCCCATCATCTCGTCGTGGAAGCCCGAAATGAACCTCTCGTGCTCAGAAGCAAGAATCGAGCTTTCCTTCAACGGGATGGAAGTGAGAATACGACTAGCTGGCTCTTCTCCCAGAGCATTATTCAGATCCTGGTAGACGATCGCCGCAGACTCGACCAAGTGCCATGCTGACGATTGCCAAACAAGGATCTGCGCCGTTCAAAGACTGACGATCTCAGGTTGACGCTCTTGCTTTTCAGGTAAGTACCGCACATGAATTCTCCTTCGTACCCGTGCTGATTCTCATGGATACTCAGAATTCTATTCCACCATCCCAAACCGTTCATTGCCCTCGACCGAAGAAGAGAACCAGCCTTTTTGTGTATGTCATTGGCCGCTGGATCTGATACCTAGAAAGTTATCCTATTGCTGATCCATTTCTTCCGAGTGCTTTTTGGTCTCAAGGAGCAGGGTCCAGCCATATCCTTGTACCTTTTGCATGAAGGATATCATCCCTCTCACCTCAGGCTACCACCCAACTATCGCTCTCAGCCATCCATTCTGGCTGATTCTCGAGGAGTTGTGACAGATGATCCTCGGATACTCGATCTCGGTTTTCTGGTCGGCAAGCCTTTCACTTCGCTGCTGTTGTTATACATCTCGACCTAGAATCTACTATTCCCTGCCTCGATCTCAGCAATGACCCGTACCTGAAGGAGATATGACCGAGTTTATGCTCTTAATGTCGCACGTCTTCCCTCATCCCTAAACTTCTTGTTCCTCCTAGCACGCCTCTGGAGGAATGACGACAGTTCATCAAGGGCAGAGACGAGGTTTGCTCGGTTCCTTACCGGAAGCTGTGACATTCCGGCCGGCATGTGATATTGATTTGCCTGTTTTGGAAGAGCTGTTTCGGACGTAGGATGGACTCGTCTTTCTCTTCTGAGATTGTCTTTGAAGTTTTTTTGCAGTCGCCTGATAGTCGTATCGGAGCGACTTGAAGAGATGACAGGCGGGCGTTCAAGTGAGCATTTGCCCTTGGTTCTAGGTTTACCCCAAATTAAGCGCACGGATCAACGTGACGTTGTGACGAATCTGTGACTCCCTGAAATGTCACATAGTCAACACGTTTTTTTCCCTTTCCCATCATCTCGTCGTGGAAGCCCGAAATGAAACTCGTGCTCAGAAGCAAGAATCGAGCTTTCCCTCAAGGCAATCGGAGTAAGAATAAGACTAGCTGGCTCTTCTCCCATTTTCTCAATCAACGCAGCCACGATTAGAGCCTTATTCAGATCTTGAAAGACGATCGCCGCAGAGACTAGACCATGTGACAGGTTAACGATTGCAACTACAGATCTACGCCGTCCAAAGGGTGACGATTGCTTTTGCTCTCAGGTACGTACACGAATTCCTCTTCAATCCATTCGTCTCCAATTATACCCGTGCTGATTCTCATATATACTCACAGACGCATTCATACACGACAACTCTATCTCACTAGTCCACACCCAAACGGAGGAGACAAAGGCGTCTCTTTAAGTACAGTTCCCTGGCTCAACCCACTCAAGGAGCAGGTTTCCGCCATGTCCTTCCAAATTTTGCATGAACTTGAAGGATATTACCCCTCTCACCTCAGGCTACCACCCAACTGTCGCTCTCAGGCATCCGATTCTCGACGAGTTGTGACAGATTCTACGTCTCGGCTATCTTGGATCTTGGAGTCATATCTCGGTATTCAAACTCTCACTTCGCTGCTGTTATACGTCTCAACCCGAAACCTGCTATTTCCTGCCTCGATCTCAGCAATGACCCGTACCTGAAGGAGACATGACCAAGTTTATGCTCGAAATGTCGCACGTCTTCGCGAATCCCCAAGCTTCTTGTTCCTCCTAGCACGCTTCTGGAGGAATGACGACAGTTCAAGAATCAAAACACCTCTCAGCTGCTGCCAAGTTATCGATCTCTTACGACTCGACTTCGGTTCTTCCGCTGGTATCGGTTCTTCAATATGCAACGCTTGTCCGAGTGCAACGCTAACATATCACCATTTGCCCTCATCTCGTGCCCGACACCAGACTCTCGCAAGAAAGGAACATTTCTTCAACAATCAAACGTCATGTCTATCCGTGAATGAACACTATAGTCAATCCCAGGCTGAGAGTTTTGTATTTAGGTACGGACCATGACGGATTCATGTCGAATTCGTTCGTCTCCGTGGATGCTGACTCTATCATATTAATTGTAGGTGCATATTCTGCGCTGCTACTGACTCCCCGCCAGTAAGGAATGCTTCATACCCCCTCCGATCGACGATTCTATCACACTTGGCACGCTCACCCTGTGATTGTCCTATATTCGGCTTGCTATTGATCGATGCCTCTGGCTGGATTACGCCCGCGGTATTCTTCTATTAGGTGCGCAATCTCTATCTAATTGTGTTCCTCCCCGTCGGTTTATGGTTTTTTTCGCCCTCAACCTGGCGTACATGCTACGGAATGTGAACTTCTGTGAGTATCCCTGTTACACTAAAGCTCATAGTCCAATATCACTCACGATATTGGTTTTCTTCGCCTGAAGCCGTCTAACGACCTATTCAACACGATCACTGGGCTATTCTATCACATCACATACCAAACATCAAGGATCACACATCACCGACCCGACCTTCCGTGACTCGCTCCCTTTCCTTATCATGTCGCCCACGATCAACATAAGGTTGAATCCCAAGTCGGATATCCAACGAGTTACGGCAGTAGTTGAACTCCGAGTTCTACACTGTTCAGTCCTACGAAAGATGCTCAACCCGACTCGAACTACATTTTCCTTTATCGTTCGTCTTACACTGGTTTCGGAAATACTAATACCGTTGTCAGTTGACAATAACGTCACAAACGGACTCTCTAGTCTACGCCACAGCATCAGATGGACCCATTACATGGTAAGGTAACATACTTCTCGTCACCGGAGTAAACGGCGACGAATTGACTTTGACTCGTATGCCAAGCAAGTCGCCTTCCGAATCTCTTCGTCTATATCGAGTGTACCGTGCCGCTTGTCAACAGCGTTAAGTCCATGCAGCCAATCCGACGCGGATTGAGCGTACATTTTGAGTGCGCGCTCATCCAGGCTTGTGGAATTCAAGTTCGCGCTTATAATTACTTGGTTGTTACTCCAAAGGCCTTGATCTCATGGCGTGTCCCAACATGGATCTGAGTGTGTTTTATTTCGTGGCCGGCGTCATTATCATTATTACTTGCTGACAACTGAAGGATAATGTAATCGTTCTTCGTCTGGTGATAGACGTTTTACCACTCCGGCCAAGCAAGAGACGGCTATGACGATGT